AATAATCTAGATCAAACAAAAATCTTGCTAAAAAAAAAGTGTTGTGCCTTAAACAAATTAAATTATAATATATACATATACAGGTGTAAAAACTAATTTATTAAAATCTAAGAGATTAAATTATGATTACAGTATATAATTATTATTATTATACATCTAGAATTAATAAAATATATTTTTAATTAATTTTTTTTCAGTTTAGATACGTTTCTTTAGTTTAAAAACTTACCGGACTTCAGCCGAATTGTATATTGCTAATAGTAGTGTGAAATTATATGTATAATGCGGTAATGTTGAAAAGAAAAAGTGAATTATATAAAATACAGCATTTAAAGTTAGGTAATACTGCAGTAAGTTGATCATGAAATTATATTACGTAAATATATGAACTGTATATCTAATATTTCTATATGTAAGTTATATACTACCAAAATTGCTGGTATAATAGTAATAACGAACTTTATTAGTGATTATAATAAAATTGAAAATTGATTAATATACAGACAAGTCAACCTTCTCTAAATAATCTTCCCTCGCTACGTACGAACGCACTTAGAGGGAGGTTTATATTAATTCCTGAACTTGAAACCGAGGCGTATCGCATTGCAGAAAGTGCACCTTTATAATAGAGATGGTTGACTAATGAAAATTAGATCTTATTAAGACGGAATCCAGTATGACTATTCAATCTGAGAAATGAATATCAACGATTAATAATAGATGATAAAGTCTTTTGAAGTTTTGTCAAAGAAATGAATATCATCGATTCATCGGATTTATAATATTCATTAAAGACATTTGGGATTTTATTCTTTCAGACTCCTTTGATTTTTCTCGGTAAATAAAGTTCTTTACTTGCAAAGGAGTCCTACCAGGAAGTTTGCCTGCTATTACAGTATATGAAGTCGTTTTACGTTGTAGACGACGAATTAGATTTTGTTCTTTTTCGGTAAGAGGTCCTTTTTTTACTATAAATGAGAAAATTAAAAAGAAGTCTAAAGGAAGAAAAAAAAAATCAAAGAAATGAATATAATGAAGGATTCATACTGGAAACATCGAGGTGGTTTATATATCTATGATAAAAATTTGATTATTAGTTTTAAATGAAAATTAATTATTTTTTTTTCAAAGTATTATGAGAAATTATTTACAATAATTTAACATTTAGTAAATAAATTTAACATATGCATCTCTCATTACGCACAGTGTTAAATTCACATATATACCTTTCACGACACTGTTTTGAACTTCTAGTATGTACTTTTCCTGCGACTGCAGTCCACGAAATTTGGGGAGATTTTTTATTTCGTCGAGCACTATGCAATATCTCTTCGAGAGAATTTAATAGTAAAGAGTCCTCCTGTTCACGTGATTAGAATTATATCATTTAGTAATAGTAAAATACAATTAGTGTAGTTAATAAGATTATATAAAAAAGAAACTTACATCAGAGCTCCAGGGCCCTTTGACGTTTTGAGCATTTGTAGGCATTCAGTATCTTGTTGAAAATGTCTTGGCTGGAGCTTTAAAGTACCTATTTATCAGTAATAAGTTCTTTGAATAGCTCTAAATATAGAGAAATTATTAGAGATTATATGATATCAGTATTCGTTTTTAAAAAAAGAACTTTTGTGAAACCAAGACATTATCACCAGATTACTATTTATATGAGTATAATTAAGTAAACAGAGTCAATTATACCATCGTACTGTACAACACTTCTATGCAGAAATAAAAACATTACCCAACTCCTTTGTGTTAAGATTTCGTCACCTATTAGAATTTTTCGTGATATATACATTAAATCAACCAAATTTGGAAAAAATTGCTTTGTGTTATTTGGCGTTTTTTTTTTAATTTCTTTTTTTTTACTCGCATTCTTTTTTATAATCACATTTCTGAACCATTGTCATGTTACCAATATTGACATTCGGATCTAAAGATGTTCCGGATTATTTGAATTATGTAACAGCAAAATGATTTTAGATTTAAATTTTATTTTGGTTTAGTCGATCTTTTTTATGAGTGTATCTTATCTAAAAATATGGGTAAACGCGGTATTTTATTAAGAATTTTACTGTTAAAAGAAATTAAGAAAATGACATATAATTAATTATTACAGTATATATAACTAACTAATAAATGAAAGATTTTAGCAGTTTATAATACTCGTCTAAACTCCGAGCTTGATATAAATATAAATATTTACATGAATACTTTATGATCTTAATAATAACGATAGTATGAATAAAAAATGTCTATATATATATGCGCATATCACCAAAATGAGTCACTTCGGTAATTCGCGATTTGTGATACATTCGGTTTAAAAAATTTGGTCATACACAAAAATACTGGACGTGTGTAAGTGTATAGAATACTTTAGAAAAAAAAGAATATTTTTCATCATTATTTTATAAACAACATTATTTATGAATTATTTATTATTATTTATTTATTTATTTATTTATTTGCGATTCCTATTTCTACGTAATAATATTGTATTTACATTTATGTTATATATTTTCATTTTATCACATTCAAATATTGCAGTAACACTTTTTAATACAGTAGATACTACAGTATCTAATTGCATAAAATCAAATTTACGTATAAATCATCGATATGTATATATTTAGGCAGATCTGTAAATTCTATGGGTATGTACTGTAATTACTATTTAAAAAGATCATTTATGCAATTACAGAATTAGGTAGTATGTGATTAACACGAATATAGATAAAACAAGAGTGATGAAAGAAACTTACAAAATGAGAGTCTAATAGAAATGTAACACAAACAGTAGTACATAATCTAATATACAGTTAAAAATAGACTCACTTTGACAACATTGCAAAAAACTTGAAACATGTTTTTTTTTTTTAATTCATTTAGACAATCTAATAAATTTTAAAATTGTTTTATCATTATCTTTTAAAGTTCTAAAATGTAGTTCATTACTGGAACCGGTTTAAAGAACAGCAGAATATGTAACACTGAATTCGATCCTTTAATGAACTGGTCAGGTAACATAAAACGGTTAGTAATTTTTGTTATCAATGCCATCATCTTATCGTTATACTTTCACCCATATATATTTCTATTTAAGGATTATTAAATCTTATGATTAATCGTACGCATAATAAATAAATAAATATTTATCAGGTATTACGTATTACAACATACAACTTTCTGTCTTTTGCTTGATTCGACGAATTTTGTGTATCGGTGATAATGCGTCAGGGTCGACACATAAACCATCATAGATCCGAGTTTTTAATATAATTGAGGTAAATTGTGACATTACGTACGTCCGTACAATACGTATGTAGGGTAGCATTACTTAAATAGTATAATTTGACGTTCATACGTACCTACGTGCGTACCAATTGATGGAAAAATTAATAACAAATAATACTAACTGCCTTTACACTATTCAGCTATTCGTGCATTGCAGTACGTATCTTTCTACATAAAAATTGACATTACATTGATCCTTTTTAACGCCTTATACGTAATTAGACATCGGCAAAGATTTCTTTAGCACTTTAAATACCTTCAAAATTTGTACCTATCTCACGATTGATTTACACACATTTTAGTATGCAGTAATACAGTATGTAATACGTACTGTAGAAATTTTGTATTTTTAGAAATCAATCAATATGAATAAGTACTAACCAAAAGTTCTGAGAATTTAAGAGATCCGGATACTGTTTTCCGTTATTC